CATATAACGTTTTTTTTACAATTTTTTTCAAAGATTCTTTTACAAAATAAAACTTTCAAATTTTGAAATTCACAACCCTAAAATGGCGTGCTGTCAGGGCTCTCTCCGCCGTTGCAAAAGTTGTCTTTCAATATGAATGCTGGAATCCTTGTTGCTTCGAAAAATGACGTTATGGTTTTCTTTTAATTTCCAAAAAACTTAGATCGAAAAGCATAGCATAAATTGAAATTCTCAACGTTGTATTACGGCGCTGTCAGGGTTTTATCAGAGAGTGCAAGTCATGCTTTCAAATGATTTTAGTTTCCAAGTTGTGACCTTTTTTGGTTTTTAAAAACTTTTCAGAAAACTTTTATTATAAGACTTCACAAATTCTCAATCTTGTGATCGGGTACTGTCAGGATATTCTTAGGGGTATTCTTCAAGTTTTGCTTTTAAGTGTGACTGCCCAATTGCTTTTAGTTTCTTGGATAAGACGTTTCTTTTTTTGGGATATTCACAATCTTGATTGCAAATTCACAACCTTATAGTTTTTTTTCAGGAAAGTAAAATAATCTAATAACTATTAAATATATATCTTTTAAATATTCAAAAATGGGCTTCACTACTCGACTCGCCATCCTTAAGTTTTTTCAACATTATTTTTGCATGTTTAACGAAAGACTTTTTGCACGTTTAAGCTATATCGTATATTGCAATGGTTAAGTTTTTTTTTAATTTTCCAGTTTGAATTCAGTTCTTTTCGTCAAGTTTGAAATTAGATACCCAAAAGTGTGATGCTGTCAGGGTTACGCTAGGGATTGCAAATTAGGCCTCCAAACATGAGTACCCATAACTTTTTAGTTCATGAGATATAAAGATTCTTGTGATTTTTTTCGAAAGTTTTCATGAAACTTAGATTTGAATATGCCACAAAAACTGAAATTCTCAAACCTGTAGTTGGGTGCTGTCAGGGTTCTCTCAGGGGTTGCAAAGCTTGCCCAAAAATCTGACTGCTCAAATCATTTCAATTTGCTTTGCGAGATATCACGTTTTTTAAATTTTGTTAAATTTTTTTTTCACATAACTTAGATATTAAAAACTTAACATAAGTTCATATTAACAACTCTTATAGTGTCATGTTCTGTCAGGGTACTCTCGGACATACATTGCAAATCGTCCTTCCTATTTTGACTGCTTAAATCAGTTAAGTTTCCAAGACAAGACGTTTTTCAATAGTTCTTCAAATTTTTATTTCCCAACCCTATAATGGGGTGATCTCATGTAAATTTTGACTGCTTAAATAATCTTTGTTTGCGAGATATGCCATTTTTTATGATTTTAAAAAACTTTTCAAAAACATAATTTTCAAAAAAACTTCACAAAGTTTGAAATTCTCAAAAATATGATTGGGTGCATAGGCACTTTCAGGAAGTACTTATTTGGACTCTGAAGATGACTGCTCAACGCATTTCACTAATCTAAATATGAATTAACATTCATTTTTCATAATTTTTCAAAAAAAAATTGACAAAGTTCCAAAATCTGAAATAGTCGACGCATTCGTGGGGTGAAGTCAGGTTACTACCAGCAGTTGCAGATGTAGCCTACACCCCATTTTTTTGCTCGAATTGTTCAAAGTGTTGAAATTGAAGGTTTTTGTTTTATGTTTCAAAAATTTTCACTAAAATATCAGTTAAACTAAGAAAAAGTCTGCTGTTTTAAAGAAAAAAGAACTAAGTTTAACAAGTCTCATTCCTGAATTCAGTAATTTTGCCATTTAAATTGTTAAATATTGGGAGTTTTTATGTATGCTGTCAGCCATTCTGAAACTCAGTGGCTGCAGAGATTTGACCACTTTGGTTTACAAATATTTCAGTTGGAATTTTTTTGGTTCAATTTATTAAATGAAAAGCGTTGTTGGATACGCCCGTCTCTTTTTACGGTTGCATTCCTTTCGTTGGTTTTTTGTTCATTTATTTTATATATTAGCAGTTTTTACGTTAAATATTCTGTTCGAAACACCGAATTGTGTTACACGCTAGTTAATATTAATGCGTTCATGGATGGATTTAAGTAAATATGCTTTTGAATTTATATCCAAATTATATGCTAAAATTTAGGCAAATTACGCTCTCCAATTACAAAAGCGGTAATGGCTTGAAAACTCATAATCAATATCTAGTTTTGAAAGTGGCTTTTAATTTTTAGGCTAACTGTTCACGCGGATTAAGGGAATATGGACTTTTTTGGGTTAACAACTTGTTTAACAAAATCACTCTATCTTGGTTCATAATAAATTGATTTTTCTATGCGTTCCTGGCACAATTTAACCTGTAGGTAACGAGTATGCCTGGGGCGGCAAATGTCCTGGGTTCGAATCTGATCAGGACCCGTTTTTTTCAAGCATGAAATTATCTGTTTCAAATAAAACTGTCGGCCTTAAAAATAAAAAACGGTTTTAGCATCCCAAGTATTGAGAAGCTCTGCTTCGTTTCTGTGTGTGAATTTTTTTTTGAAAAGTTGGAAATAATTTTAGAATAAATTTGTACTCTGCAATTCTGGCGCATGTTTTTTTATCGGAAGTGGTGTGAAGCTCTAGTTTTTTTAGTCATTGTATTTTTTATCGGAAATTTTCAATATACATATATATTTTTTTCACTTGTGAGAGCAAGTGAACTTGTAATCAAGAACAAGACTTTTTGCCATAAGCAACTTTCCATGCAAATTACAGCGGGAGAAATTACTACTCTAACAAAATATTGTACTTTCAAATGCAGACTGCGCTGACATGCTCATCTTCTTGAGAATTCAAATAAAACTGACTTGTTGTTGATTGGAGGTACTAAATAATTTTTGTCTTATAAAGGTTTTGCTGATTTTTTTTGTTTTTTTTTTCAGAAAAAGTCTTAAAATATTGATGCACATAATGCAAATTTTGAGTTCATTTGAAATTCATCTGCTGAAAGAGACGTAAATAGCACTCTCCAAATACGAACGTGGAAATGACGCGAAAAAACGTGAACAATTTCTAGTTTCGAAAGTAAATTCATTTTTAAGATTTCCTAGCGGAATAAAAACTTTACCTATTGATCCAGTTTTCTCAAGTTGGGTTCATGTTATCAAAATGCGGCAATCATAAATTGTTCTAGAAATTCAAAGAACTTAAAGGGCACCTTTTTTCTTTGAAATTCGAAAATTGAAATTTTTTTCCAAAAAAATTATTGTTTTTTGTTTGATTGCGTTCATTACTTTTTCCAATCTTCAATTGGCTATGTTTCAAGTGAACTTCTTGAAAAAAAAAGATTTTTGGTTTTCGTCCTAGTTTGTTTGGCTAATTTTTCATTTTTTAAAACGCACATTGGATGATCTATTACTTGACTTTGTATTTCGATGTTTTTGTTGTATCCTAAGTGTTGCGAAACTGGGTAAACTATGTTTTTATTTTTTGTTTTCAAGGAAGCTGACATTGATTTAAAGATCAATTTCATAGTAGCAATTTCATAATATCAATGAAAGTTTAGAAATTGATCACTTGATGAAATATGTTCCGTCTTCAAGTTGTATGGGTTTTTTTCTTAATTTTATATTAACTTTTTTTCTGAGATCAATGTGGTCTAAACTATCAATCTTTTTCGAAAATGATTTATCGTTTCTTAGGTCCTATGGCCTTTTTTTGTAAGTTTTTTTGTTTTTCAGGGAAAATTAATTCAAGCCGAAATTTGATGTTTGGTGACACTTGGTGTTCTTAGTTCATTACAAAATCGTCTGCTAAATTGAAGAGACATAACATAACGCCCATTAATAACCAAAGTGAAACTGGCGCAAAAAAATTGAGGCTGAATTTTAGTTTAAAATTGTATTTTCATTTTCGGAATTCACAAAAACTTCCATTTCAGAAAAAATGTACTTTTTGACCAAATTTTACCGAAATGGTTTAGGCCTATGAAAAATGTATCGATCATACAAGAAAAATCATTTTATGAGAAAAGTTTACAAAAGTCAGTCTTATCGGTTTCCGACTTTTTTTAGCTGACTGTTGGCTATACTTTTGTTATTTTATTGGTTTCTTTTACATCATCCTAAGAAAAGTGAAAATTTTTTTTGTACCTATGAAGTTGCAATAGTGCGTTGAAGACGGGACGTTTGTAGTCTGGTTGTCTCTCTTAATGCACTGGTCAGATGCGTCTGTGTTGAATTTTTTGTATGGTTCTTTAGCTTGGTTCGATTTTTTACACTATCAATTAGTAAAAGTGTTTCAACCGGGTGCTAGACTCCCCCCCCCGTAAATAACCATGTTCGCAGGACTCAAATTGGTGGTCATCTTCAAGTCTACAAAGTTGTCAGTTAACAGACAAACTTTGAGGATGTCTGCGTTGTACACGCCCGTTTTATGCGAAAGTTTTTTCTTACATTGGTTGTAGTTTTATCATTTCCAAATTCAGTAATATCAGTTTTTATTCTCTTTTTTTATTCGGCTTAAAAGATTCGACATTGGCTAAGCTTCTTCATTTTGAACCGTTTGATGATCAAAAATATGTTGCTATCTAAATGTTTTGAGGGTGACTTCAAAACTTTTTTTGAGTTTCAAGTTTTTATGAACATTTTTTTCCGGCTCAACCTGTGTGTGCTCAGGTACTGTCGGCTTTGTTTCAGCCTTGTAAGTTTTATTTCGATGCTCAATAATTAGCCTTCAATTGTTTTGTTTTTCACTTTTTTAAAGGAAATTTTTTGAAGACAAAATCAAGACAAAGATATGAAATTTTTGGTGGCTCATTTTTCGACACTCAAAAAAATTCAATGCTGATTTCGTATCATTTTCTGTAGCTTACTCAGCCATACTATATTTGTGTTGTATCGTTAATGGTGGTATGCTTAGTTTTGCCTCTGTGTAAGAAAATTCGTTTGACCGTAGAATAGATAGAAAGTAAGTGTGATTTGATTTGATTCTTTCTATAAATATTGGCATGATATTCGGGAATATTCACAAATTTTTTGTTTTGACTCTGATCGCTTGGTCGTGTTTTTATCTTCCCAATTGCAGTAGCCTTTTTCGATTTCTTTTGTCTCATATTTAGATAATAAAAACTGGTTGCCAAATTGAGAGTGGTATCGAACTTGAGATCTGTTAACATGAGATGATTCCCGACGGAAAATGTTTGCAATATTTTCTTGTCGTCAAGAAAAACCTTGAATAGTTTTTAAATATTCTCTATGATCGAAAAGATTGAGCAGTTCTACCTACTTCTAATTGAAAGGATTAATTATGAGTTAAAGCAATATAAATTCACTAGATGTATTGGCAAGCGCAAATTTATGAAATAAATTAAGTTTATTCAGAAAATCTTCCATGTCGTCAGTTAATAATTATTATCATTGGAGTAGAAAAATAGTTACTTGCTCGGAACATTCTGTGCTACTTTACTTGCACATCAACCGGCTCTTCATCTTATTGAGTCTGTCTCTTAAGTTATAGTAAGTCAAACGATACAAAGCTCCGATTCGCCTTCTTATGATGTAAGTTTTTTAATGCTTCATGTTACGCTTTGAATCGGCTAATAAGTAGTAAAGCACAATCTACTTGCGTCAAATCATCTCAATCCAAATTGTTAGTTACTTTCTATGGTTGCAATGCTGACTTCGCTGCTTTTTAAATCGTCATGGTTAGTTTTTAAAAGCCACTGGATTGCCAAAAACTGCGCCAACTTAGTGACGTATTTATCTATTGCCGCGGCAGCTCTAAATTAACTTCGTTAGCTGATATTATTTAATCACTGAGATTTTAAGTTGTCTGGTTTCTGAACGAATGTATTCATATCAACTTCCGATCATCTTTTGCTGTAAGTATTTTCGCGCCCCGAAAGGCTTACATATTCAGAGCGGTATTCACACATTTCGCCCCTCACATGTTTCACCCCTCTTAAATCTTGTGGCACTTTTCGCCCCTCACACTTTTCGACCCTCATAAATTACTGGCACATTTCGCCCCTAAAATGTACATTAAGAAAGCGGCGTTAATTAACTGTGTAATAAGTTAGGGGCGAAATGTGCGAGGACGAAATGCGTGAAATTTTTAGGGGCGAAATGTTCCACTAGATTCAAGAGGGGCGAAATATGTGTGGGGCGAAAGGTGGGATAACCCTTCAGAGCAAACTAATACCATCATTGATGCACCGGGAGAAAATTTCTGGCCCGAAGTTTACTTTCCGCTCTGCAGTTTAATAACTGTGAAATTGATATAGACAAAATAGAAAATTCAGCGTTCCACATATTATTCAATTTTTCTGGTTGGAGATAGTCATTTTACGAAAGTCATTTATTTACGCTTTGAACTTTCGAAGCGAAATTTTGTGCTAGTGTTGACCTTTTTTCGCGATTTCTGTGTTTTTCTGTCATTTTGAATTTTTTTTATGTGCGTCAATAATGCGTTCAAATTGTATTGTAATTTTCATGTAATTAATTGAGAAGATATATGCCTCGAAATGTATGCTACAAATTATGTCAATGAAATATTATTGATTAAAAAACATATATTTTAAAAACAGCTGAAATATGATATATATACTTATTTTACATTGAAAGCTTTACTTGCGTTAGTAAAAACGACCAAAATACATAAAACTTCGACGCTATTTCAAATTTTTTATGTGGGTCAATCATGCGTTCAAATTGTAATTTTCATTTAAATAATTGAGAAGATATATGCCTCGGAAGTTATGCTACGAATTATTTCAATGAAATATTATTGACTGAAAAAATATATATTTCAAAAACAGCTGAAATATGTTCTATATAATTTTTTTTTAAATTGAAAGCTTCTTTACTTGCGTTAGTAAAAACTTCGACGCTACTTCGTCATTATAAAATATTTTTTAGTTACATATCGCTTGTGCGTACTTTTCTTCAAAAAACTTCTTTGCAGGTTTGCTTTTTGCCGCCAACGCCCTAGTCACAAATATAGTGAACCTCGACAACACCGCTTCATATCCTGAAAACACAGCTGGCGTGATTTTTGAGGCATTCGGGGATGCAGCTTCGACGGGAGCCTGGACTGTTACGCCGGCAGCTGCACCTGTAGGGGCTGTTTGCAATGCAGTGACAGACACAACAGCGGGCACTTGTCAAGCTACCCAGGCCTCTTGCAAAAGTAACACGTTCTTAATCATTTAATTCATACGTACTAACATCAATGAGCTCGGGAATTTACGTAGTGTTTTGTTCGAAAGACTTTATTCAAGAAAAAATACTAGAGCACTGAGAGCGAGTTTGTTCATTTAATATTTTAACTGTTCATGAGTTTCATGCTGACCTTCTGAAGTTTTGTGAAATATCTTTGAGCTTTTTCTATGGTGTTAGGTAAATAAAACGACAGGACATATAGACAACAAATGAGCGTTAAAACACTGGAAATGAACTGTTTGAACTTAAGCCCACGCCGGATCCACAGTCTTCGCAAACTGTTTACATTTGAACTGTTTTCATTTCTCAGAAATTCAAAAGGAGAATTGTATGTAGTGTCATTTTAAAGTCCATCAACATCGGTTGTCGTCGCAATAATTGTCGTCGTCTTATTTGTCGGACTATCCTTTCCTGATAAATTGTTCTTGAAGTTTGTAACCATAAGATTTTTTTTTGCTGGGATAAAAAATTCTTCTTTTTCTCGCGGCCACTGGCCAGGCCTCTTGCAAAAGTAACATGTTTTTAATAATTTAATTCTTGCGTACTAAAATCAACAACCACTGTGTTTTTAGTTCAGTTCGACACTACAACTGCAGACTTTGAAACAAATCCAATCGAGTATTGCACACTTACAGTAGACGCTGTCACAGGGACCCTCCAAATTGACATTACAGACCTGGATGATGAGACACCGGAAACCCTGTGCAACGAGACGACGGTCACGGTGGACGAAAATGACGAGTCCCATCAGGGGACGTTCATTTCCCACTGTACGAGTACTTCTACTCTGAATTTTGCCATCCAGTTTTCGATGAGTGTCGATCCGGTGTGGGCTGCAGCTAAATTCGAGATTGATCAAGCTAGTTAGTCAATATTATTGATAATCACCCATTTGTTGAAATCTCTTTCTGCTCAGTTAAAATTGGCTTTTAGTTTTTCATGAAGGAAACTGAATTCATCTTTTACTAATTTCATTTCTGAAATGCTCCTAAAAACAAACTAAGATTATTCAATTTGATTGTTTAAAAGGCTGCTTCAAGCGCGGGAATAAATGTTGGCCTTTTCTGGAAAAACTTCTTGAAATTGCATTGTAGAATTTCTGTTCATTTTTTCGTATGTGTAATTAAAAAAAAACGGTAAAATAAGATGGGGCAGCAGTTTTGAGCGTACTGTGTCTTAGACTGTCTGATATCGTTTTTTTAGTGGATCAATTTTTTAGCCAATCATCTTTTTCCGATTAAAGAGAGAATGGAAATCTGGAAAAATCGTCACAAAATTTTTTCAATGGTGTCTCAAAATCTGAACTTTTGCTTCATCGTCGATTTTGGTGAGAGCGGAATTATTTTTTCAAAATTTGATCGAGCGTTTATTCTCATCGTTGAATATTCAATTTTTTGTTCGTGTTTTTTGGCTTCTTGAAAAAATAAGATTTATGTCAAATACATCTTACTTTTTAACTTGACGAAACCTTTTATCTAAAGCTCTGCTGTGGTTTGATAAATATTTAAAAGCAACCCACTGTTTCTTTATTCAGCTGGAGTGGTGACGTGGGCGAGTGGTGCCCTAAACAATAACTTCGAGAACCAGGCCTCCTACACTTTGTCTGTGGCAGCCTACACCAGTGGCAGGACAGACCCTACTCCACTGGACATCACAGTCACTGTCAATAACATCAACGAGGCACCAGTCATCACTAATCTCCCACAAGTGGTCAGTACTCCAGAGAATGTTCTAGAACAATCGAATGTTCTAGAACAATCGAATGTTCTAGAGCAATCGAATGTTCTAGAACAATCGAATGTGTTTTTTTTTTAAATTACCAGTACTCATTAAAATTTTTTGAAGCTTGAAGAAACGTTGGCTTGAATAGGATTGAACGAAGGCATGAATATTGTAGAAACTCGAAATAATCGTGCATGAATAAACATTTACCCCGTTTTAAACAAACTTTGAGCAAGAAACAATTTCTTTGATACAACTAGCACTTTGTTTATGAGATGCGGCTCCCTGAATCAAGTCGGACTCTTTTTCAAAATGACATATTCCATGCCGACTCAAATGACACAGTTGAAAAACGTCCCAACAATAGTGTTCGGTCTCAATCAAGGGTTGCTTAGATAGCTTAAGAACACTCAAAAACGCTGACTAGTTAGTATTTTCCATAAGTTCTTTAGACCACGTTTCTCGAGGTACCTGCGCAAAAGCTCCTTAGGGGTCAAGCCTGTTTCATATTGAATGAAGACTTTATTAGTTGTGATTTGCATTACTAAAAATTCAAAAAATTTGTCGGTGTCAAGAAAAGCTTGTGTTATCATTTTTGTTTTCAACTAACTTAATCGAAGCGTTCATTAAACTGTTAACGACTAGTTCTCGTAGTTTTCATTTTACTTGTTGACTTTTTCATTTTTTTTTGATAAAAATGTGATCGGAATAATATGTGCTGATTGCAGCGCAGCCGGTTATCCGTGCTTATTAATAAACTTGATAAATTTTCTAATTTGTTGACTGGTTGACAGATGATGTAGCTAATGTTGTCAGGTGTATGTGGAAGAAGACTTTCCGCGCTACTCCACCTCAGTGATAGTGGACATCAGTCTGGTGTTGCTGAATGTGAGTGACGATGACAACTCGGACCCTGGAATTGACCAGGCCCACACTGGCATAGTCACCCAGTCTTCGTGCAACGGAACCACCGACTACTTCCAATTCATTGGTATGCTATCATTTTTAGTCCAATTAACACTATTTAAACGCGCTTAAGATGTCAAGATGCCATGAATGAAATTAATTTGAACCCTATAGATTCTTAAGTTTCTCTAAAAGAAAAATAACTTGAACGGCAAGATAGTTCGTGTCGACGTTAAACTTTTCCTCGATGTCTTGCATTAGATATAAAATCCTTGCTTTGAATATCGAACGTCTGTTCAATTGGTGAAATGGCTAGTGGTTTTAACGCAATCGATGAATAGAGGACTACCATGATTCGTGTTTGCATGTTTCTTACGGCCAGAAAATCTCAAAAGCCCAGAGCTTTTCCCATCGTAAAAAAAGAGCCAATTAGCATCTTTTACAGATCCTAAGCTGGAAAGCAACATCAATTTTTCTTGACTGCCTATATTTTTTTCCTTTTGATAAAAGTTTTTGGCCCATTAGAACAATCTCCCCCTAAATGTAGGGCGTCCATGTACTATTCTCAAATCTCATTGGCTGAAAAACAATACTTTTAACCACATGAACTATCTCTCCCCTTTTTTGATTAAGGGGTATGTAGTTCACTTGGTTATTATTTTCCCCATCTCTCCTTATGCGTGGTGTTTTTCAGCCAGTAGTGGGAACGACGTCCTCCAGCTCGACTCCGACTCCACGAATGCCATCTTCGCGAACCCACTCTGGGCACGCTATGCAATGAGTTCATACTCAACATAGTCGTGCAAGACGACAACAGTGTGGACGGGACTGCTCTGAATAGTTCCAACTACACGCTGACTGTGATTGTGTTGAACAAGGAGGAAGTGCCATGGTTTAATGAGGATGGAAATCTGGCGTAAGATTTGTAATTAATGCTCTTTTTTTAATGTCATGAGTTAAGAGAAATACGATTTGAACATTAGAGTTGGTTGTATTTAAAACAAAAAGTAATATGAACAGCGTTCGATGCATTTTTATAGTTGAGATAATCAACGGAAACTGTCCCTAAAGTACGGCAAATGGAAGGCTTTTTTCGAATTTGAAGAAATAAATTAGAGGACACGAATTCGAAGTCATAGGCGTGTTTCATACTCGAACCCAGACTTTTCTTTTTAGACTCGGGATGGCTGTTGAGACCACAATTGATTATCCGGAACGAGTTACTTACCCTGACTCAGTATTCGTGTTCAGTGAATCAAAGGTAAATATAGTAAACAAATTTGTTTTCTTTGTTCAAAGCACAAATAACCTTCAATTCATGACTACAGTTGTAACAATCCGTGCTAATTGCGCATTAACCGGTTATTATTATCTAGTTTTTTTTTTAAATCTAACCGGCATATGAGTGTAATCTTGAGTTTCATTAACAGGCTCCAGGTGTGTTTTCTGGTATCACGTCCAGTCCGGACTCGACACTCCTTCCGGCTACAGACACAGACGGAGTCTACATAGCAGATTTGGACGACTGGACGGCGGCCAGAGGTTACTATGACCCAGACTGCAGTCCATACAACAACTGCACCGGAGTCACTTTCCAGATTCTGAACTCAACTGGTGGTCTGCTGGAGTCACACTTCGACATATCCATAGACACCGGAAGTATGACCACTCAAACTCAATTCACGTGATCATGGTCACAACTTAAATGCTCAAATCTATATTTCTGACATTTGCGACAGTTTTAATATAGCGGTTTGGCTTTATTTCTGAAATAGAGAGAGAATACTGAAAATTCTAAGGCACGTTTTGTAGAACTTTCTATGAGTTTCCCGGTTGACCACCCTACAAAAATTCCCCTAATTTAGAACTTCTTAGAAGATTTGAAGGAAAATTCCCAATCATACAACTGTCCTCCCATTTTTTGAGAGCCAAGCCGCCAATAAAGTAGTTAGATGTAATAACATATGGCTTTAATTATTATTTCACTGAACATGAGTGGCTTTTTGAAGACCTTATCCCATTTCTTTTTTATTTAGACAAGTATCATTTGTTCTTGGTGAGCTCGATCAACTACGAGGTCTACTGTGAGCAGGAATCATTCACCTCCAGCATCTACCCCTTCAATCTCACGGTAAAACTACTGAATAAATACTGAAATATTAAACTAATCTAACAGTAATTTAGTTCACTATGTTGTTTTTATTTATTCGTGGTTTTCGCATTTTTTAAAAAGTTAGTTTACCATCTTAACTAGTTTCTTTAGATGTTTTAGTAGTCATAACGCAAACGTACCGCTGTGTTCGCCTTTAATTGTCACCTCGTAATAGCGTTGTTAAAATGACTGAAAATTTTCAGGCAATAGTTACTAAACTCTTAATTATAGGAGTAAAAAAAGAGGCAAAGTTAAGGACTATTATGCATGTAGATTGTTGCCGTGGACCCAACTGGGTTGCAGACTACGAATGCAATCGGACTGTACATGAGGTTGACAGACGACAACGAGTACGACCCGGTAATGGACCCCACTCATGAATTTTCGGTGGCTGAGAACGCCCCCTTCGGAACGAACGTGGGAACTACAATTGTGTGTCAGAGCGAGATCGAATGCTACCCAGACACTATCACGTATGTCCAAAATGCATTCTGTCGCCTAAAGCGTGAAAGTAAATGTTTTTGAGGTTAAAAAGAGACGTTTTTGTTCAATTCGATGCAATCAAATAAGTGTCTGGAATGTTTGTGAAATTTTTCGTGAAAATGTGCACAAAAAGCTCAAAACCTCAATAGTTTTGTTTGAAGTTTTAGATGACGCGGATCTCTAGAAAACAACATGTCAAGAGTGGTTCTACTCATTAAACTAGTTTTGGAGTCACATTTTCTTTTTGTTCAAGCTAGTTGTGTAACCTCGGACCAAATAATGTATTGCTCTACGCGGAGATGCAAAGTGCCTCGACCGTTAATGAGCAAATTATTTTTTTTCTTTTTGTGTTCCGACCATTTGGGGGGGGGGGGGGGGGAGCTTTGTATTCAGGCGTTTCAGTTTTTTTCTACGCAAAACAGGTACTAAAATGAAAAATATTGGAATAGGTAGAGTAATATATCATTCAGAACGACCCTTTCAGTCGTGATCCGAACGAAATTAAAAATTAGGAACAAATTTTCTCAGTTTTGAGAAAAACCGGTTTAAAATTTTTGAGTGTTCGTCTTATTTCGAGCTAATAAAGCAAGCGAGCAGGCTTGTTATAAAATGATAAGCCATGAAACTTCAGTAAAATTATTTTTTGAAGTTTTTTGTCCCATTTTTGCAATAAGAAAACTTCAAATACAAAATAATTTTTTTTGTCAATTTTTGACAAAATCCGGTAACCGATTTGCCTATTTTACTGTTTTTTTTTCAGATCCTTTTATTGTACCGGGCACAAAAACAGCACTATTTTGAAGAAGAAAAAACGGGAAAAAATTTTTGTGTAATTTTTAAAAGATTTTTGTCGAAATTCTGTGATACTTGCACAGCAACCGGCTATCCTTTTTTTTCACTTTTTGTTCATTTCAATTTTCGTGCCCAGCGATTTTCAAAATTTGTCGAGGCTCGTTTTTCTATTCATACAATTTGATCTTTTTGTTACTCAATATTGAAAACAACGGTTTGAAATTTCAATCAGCCTGTAATAAGGATCAGCTCAAATTTGTTGCCCTATTCGTCATATTTTTCAGGCAAAAAAAAAACATTTGATCCGCGATATTTTATTAGACGATTGCGAAGTGTATCTTGTTCCAAAAACCCTTACTACCCATGCAACGCATGTTATAAGTTCATTTCATTTTTAAACCCTACTTGTTACGCTTGCGATTAGCAAGCGTTATCAAACCAGAATATAGATTTTTCTTTCGGGTTAACACATAGTTTGAGAGAATCACTTGAATCACTTTATCTTTTGCTCATATGAAATCAAAAGTTAGGCGTTAATTTGCGCATGTGGCGAAGAGGTAACGCACCTTCTAATAAAACCAATGGTCAATGGTTCGAATTCGGCCAGGTCCCGTTTTTTTTGCAAGCAAAAAATCGTCCGCTGGTCTTCTGTTTGTCTGCTTTTTTTGTCGGCTTAGTTACCGCAGCACCAATTTTGCCTAAAATTTGGCAGATTTTAATCGAATTAAAAAACTTTTCAGTGTATTCCGGTTTTGGGCAAGTAATTGAGTCCCAAGAAGTTTTACCTATTTTTGCTATTTTTTATATATTTTTTTCATGCTGTTTATTAAAAATTTCTGAAAAATGTTTTCAAGGAGTGTTCTGTGGCTTTAGTGCAGTGGTAACACTCATGCTTGAGACGAAAAATCCCAGAAGTTCGATTTCAGTCGGGACCTGTTTTTTTTGTCGAAACTGAAAATTTTCGATTATTCTAAGCTTTTTTGTCAGCTAATTTTGTCGGCTTAGGTCCCGCATAGAGATTCAGTTTGTTTAAGCATTTTGAAAGCTCTTAGTAAAGTTTTAATGTAGCAGGTTATATTATTTGTAGAATTTTTTGTACTTCTGCAATTTTTGATTTGTCTTTTCATTTGCTGGTAATCAAAGTCATACATCCTGTATATCAAGTGATGCGAAGCTCCACTTTGCAACAGATTTATCGGTTCAAATTTACTTATTGAGCACATATGTTTTATGTCCGCTTAGTTCAAGTACAGCAAAGATATTTTTTCCAATTTAGTTTCGTTTTTTTTTGTGCGTGGTGTGATGCAAGACTTATACTGCTGAAAGAACGTTAGTCGATATGGCATAAATGAAAAAAAAAGACTTCAAAAATGATTAACAAACATAAAAATCAAAAATAATTTTTGAGAAAAGTTATGGTTTTTTAGAAACTTTCTTTTGCCAAGTAAGCACAAAATGAAGCTTTCAATTCTAGAACTAAATTTTATACTACTTCAATGAAAATTTTTCATCCAATTTTGAGCGAGTAAGTTGTTTGAAGCGAGTTTTAATCGCTCGAAATCAGACAAAGTTTCAATCCGGCCTTTCTCAACACTGGGACATTTTGAGAAATTTTTAATTTCGTATTCAAATCACGAATGAAAGGATTTTAATATGATTTGCCACTCAAAGCAATCCGATGATTTTTCGCAGTACCTGCTTTCGCGTGAAAACAGAGAAAAGGAAAAGGGAAAAACCAAAAAACTCGAATTCAAATCTCCAATAATGACGAGCCTTGCTTGCATTGACCTATTTTTCTCATATTGCAAAAAAATTTGACTGTTTTATAACAAATGTTAAATTATACAACTGTTAAATTATACCACAAAAATACAGGCAAAAAATAGACTTTCGCTGGTTTTTGCAAAAAAGCAGATTGTCTAATTTGATTTAAAGAAGTCTAATATGAACTAAAACAATATATTTCAGCCATTTCCTTCTCCACATGTTGAATTATATTATTTTGATTTCAAATTAAAATTTTGGGAAAGACAATCTGCTGTTTTTGCAAAAGCCTCGAAAATGTTTTTTTTTTTGCCTGTGTTTACTGTATTATTATTTAACTGTGGTGTTTTTAAAGATGCTAAATTTATAGTTGTAGAAAAATCTTTAATCATGCAAATTTTTTTTCAAAAAAAAAAATTGTCATTGTTTTTGCATTAGTTCTTCTATTTTTTGTTTTAAGAGAAGCACATGTGTAAAGTTTTTTTAATATGGTTCAGTTTTGGCCATTTCTTTTTTTTCAATATTTTTTCAAAGATAAACGAATCGTCCGTATTGGAATTTACTACACCAGCAACTACACAGAATTTACTGTACAGTTTTTTTAACACAAGCAACACACGGGGTATCAGATCAGTTCGCTTTTTAAGGCGATAAATTTTAGGATTTATTTTACAGAGTCGATGAACGTAGTTCAGAAGTTGATTTAGGTCGTGATTATCTCTTTTGCTTTTTCAGAAAAAGTCTTAAAATTTGTTCAGGCCCAAAATTACTCTTATGCTGTTTGAACTTTGATTTCTTTTCAAGTTCAGTTAACTTCCTTTGTTAAAAGAAAGGCAAATTCCACTATCGATAAGCAAAAGTGTAAAAGTCAAGAAAAACATGATCGTTTTCTAGTTTCGAATGTGCAATTTAATTATCAGATTTCCCAGCGGAATAAAAATTTTACGTTTTGAGCCAGTTTTTTTTTCAAATTGGGTTTATTTTATCAAAAAATTGTCAGCCATAAATTTCTCAAGAAAGTTAAAGAGCTTCGAGGCGATCTGTTTGTTTCTTTGAAATTCGAAAGTTGAGGTTTTTCATTACATAGGTTGGCATTTTTTTCTGTTTACTTGCCTTCATTGACTTTTTCTAACTGGCTGTTGGTTATTTCTAAGTCACAAACGTCGGTATCTAATTATTGTGTTCAATATCTTGATGCAGCTTAGTTTTACGGCAAAATTTTTAGTTTCATTTTTAGGCACGCGTAGTCTAAGCGACGATTTAATCCCGTTTAGAGATTATTGCAAACTGAATTGAGGCAAGCTGAATGCGTTAAAAGATATAGTGACCAAAGGTTAATTTTTCCAAATAAAATTGTTTTCAGCATTTCTACAAGTATTTTTTTATTTGACCAGAAAATTACTTCAGACACGGAAAAGTGCAGTAAGAATATTCAGGCGTTTGCCCTGATACACGCAGTCTCATTATTCTTAGCGTATTGTTGAAAGTTCTGTTACCCTTGTACAGCGGATTAGTGGCTATGTGTTTGCGAGTACAGATCCACCTTTTTGTCAAATTTTCATTTAGTGCGTTCTCCTTGTTTGTTTCTGACCAAATAAAAAATAAGTTAGTAGAACCTCTGGATGCATGTGGTTGAATGTATAACTCTATTTATTTTACAGAAATGGGTTTGTATTTCACCTTCAAATGCGCTATAATATCACTGGATTAACCTTTCCTGAGGCTAACTTGACACTGGTTACTTGATTTTTGACTGAATTTTGAATATGGTTAAATGAAGGAGTGGATCTAAGGTTTTCTCGAGGGGCGAATTTTCACTAATTGAAAAAAAACGAACTAATTGACGAACTTTTTTAGGTAGACGAATTTTGATCCCAAATCACTATAACGACCGTTTTGATGAAACTTTCGTTGCGCGAAAAAACAGGCCTATGAAGACGTTTTAGGCATTTTTTGTTAGGTTTTGCTTGAAAATCGCGTTTTTTTGCCGCCTAACTCTCAACCCTCCACCCGCAAAAGTATATATTGGCGCCGAAGACGCGCTCAGAAAAATTACAGGGGCGGTCGGGCAAAAATGGATGTTCACGCTTGCGATTAGCAAGCGTAATTAAAATAGTATGAAAGGGGGACTCTTTTGGTGGCCACGGGTGAATGTTGGAAAATCTCTGAGAGGAATGCCAGCCCCCCCTCCCCCCCCCCCCCCCCCCACCTAGATCCGCTACTGGTTAAATGCTAAGAAATCTAGAATCTCAAGCTACGTTTTTATCTAAGCATTTTGGGCAAATCAAATCTTCCTATAGGTGCACTCAAAAAATGTTTTGGTAAAATTGCCCTAAATGAGTTAAGGTTAAAAAATGTAGGTAAAATTTACCTTAACATTACCTTAACTTTACCTTAAAAAACTTACCATTTGTTTTGATTGAATTTTAAGAAGGATATACATATTTTTACTAAAAAAACTTTTTTTTGAGTGTGGCATTTGATTTGATTGAATTTTAAAAAAGATTTAACATATTTTCACTATTCAGTTTTTTCCAACATACAAAAAGTAAGAAATTGGCCAAAAACAAGTGTTATTTATTAATTTACTGTCAATCGCATTGCTTGACCTCCTCCCTCGTGGATACTTTGAACCGGCTTCATAAAGTGTGGCCAATAGTACACAGAGCAATAAGCGACAGATAATTTAGCTAAAATTGTTATTTGAATAGAAAAATTTAGTTTCGAATTGAATTGACAATCTAGCCATTTTCACATTGGAATATTGGAACAATTTCGTATACAAAAATTAAATCACGCCCCATGTCTTTTTTGTGATGAATGAAAGACAGAAACTTTTGATTTTATCTGTAGCTTGATATGAATGCCGTTATGTCACCAATACGCCGAAAAATGTCCCGTCGGCACTTCTGAACACCTGGTCCACAAAAATACTGTTTTACTGTTCTGGTGAATTTTTAGCTGTGTGGATAATAACTCTCGGAATAGCATTAAAACTAGGAAACTACCTCGATTAGTCGAATTTGGCGGGAATTAATAAGATATCAAAAAACACCAACTGAAGAAACCAACGGAGATGTTGGACTTCGTTTTTACCATCAGTATCTTGTAGGAAAACTGAAAGAATGTATATACCAACGTCAGAGAATATATACGCTCTGCTTTAAATTCACCAATTTTCGACTGATTGAAAAAACAATTGAGGGTTTTTTTGAGCTGAGGTGGAATCCTTATTGTTTTTTTACCCTATTTTAGCACATTTGCCATACTGACCACTTTGCCGAGTGCCAATGACGGTGGCTACTACTTCGAGTTTGTCACCACTAATGTCGGACAGTTGACAGTTGCTCGTCCTCCTGACTACGAACTAATCCAGCAGGTACAAATGGTTTAAATATCTTTCAATGTGCAGCTTTCTTACACAACCGAGCGTAGTGTGATAGTACGATGCAACCTAAGTCGCAGATAATAGTGCTACTTTTGGTGGCATTTTTGGATCACGAGGCTGCATTGGCACTATGATTCCATATCCTTTGAAACAAAAGAAACCAACGGGCTAGAACTGCAGTTGTCAATTAAGGGATGAAAGCTATAAAATAATGCGTGTCGAATCCGAGTTGGGGTGGTCAAATTATGTATCGACCGTATGGGTCGAACGATGTCTGGTTATCGGCCCAAGTTATGGAGGATGACAAAAACTGAAGATCCACCAAAGCGACATGAGTGGTCGGCCAAAATTGACGAATGTCGAGGAAAATAAATTACCTGAGTTGACAAATGGTAATGAAAGTCGACTAGAGAGTCGATGAAAGTCGACTAGAGACGACGATATTTGAGTGTCGTTGACCCAAATTGACCAAAGTTGATCAAAGTCGTCCAAATTTGGCCTAAGTCGACAGCAGACATCGTTTGATCCCGTCCGTCCTTTGTGAATGAGATTAGATCTCTCAATAAAAGCTACACGACTGGTAGGTTCTTGTTTTCTTATTGTGACAATTGAGTCCAAAAGTAGCATGTACGTTGTAGGTGATCTTCGAGGTGCGTTGTCGGGACTTAAACGACGGCGAGGGCGATAGAAGGAGTTCGACGACGACAGTGACAGTGAACATAGTGGACCAGAATGACAATGAGCCCCAGATGGTGCAGACGTTCTTCAGTGTGGCTACACGATATGACGCAGAGTACAGGACGTTCCTAGCTAGACTTCAAGCCACAGATGCCGACTCCGGTACGACATTTCAGCAACCCTTCATTGCTTATGCAACCTTATCTCAGTCAACAATGTTTTTAGTCAACAACTCAGAGCTAAGTTAATTAACACAAAACTGCTCATTCTGGCGCCGTTAGCCATTTTTCCACTCACTTCAAGCATGAAAAGGGCGTCTTAAATCTTATTAACTCGAAACTCAACATTTAATGACCGATTAAGATTCTCAAGGTCACTGATGTTGCTACATAAACTATATGCATGTAAATGTAATCTACGTCAATCATTGTAATTATCTATTGTAAACTCTCTATTTACGTGGCTGATGGCTCTGTTTAATTAAGGACTGAATGCGTTGCCTATCTTTGCCCCGGCCTCCCCCTCGGATGAGTTCGGAGTGGACTCTGACACTGGAGATGTGTTCACGAAGGAGTTCTCCCTCATCCCCTACCACTCTTACATATTCTATGCTGCAGTGTTTGACACTGGCGAACCAGGACAGCCACGCAACATCGGAAAGTACGTTCGTTTTTCAATACTTTCTTATTGTTATACCCCTGAAAGACGACTTCGGCTTGCAGCATGTCGTTTTGTTGCATCCATTTCGATTATTTTTCCTCTCCCCCCCCCCTCACACGAGCATCAATTTTATGGTATAACGATTAGTTGTACAAGTTTAATATGAGGATCAAGTATTTTTGTCATGGCCAATTTCTCCGAATGTCCATTTTCATAACCATCGGACAGTGTGAACAATTTACTTATGCGGATGGGAGAGAGGACGGGTGGTAGAGGAAAAAAGTCTCCATTTCCTAATTTTTAAAGTTTTCGTAGCCAGTAAAATTGTGACTGTACATTTTTAGGTCAACCAAATTGATTTTCAGATCTCTCCAAATACTGTATTAGACCCTATTTTACCGAGAGAAACGCCTTTTTTATGGCACTGTTTGGAAAATTTAAACCAAAACTTGCCTTTTTTAAGCACGCATTCCCGGTTAACTTTAGTGTCTATTGGGAGCCCAAGGCGCTTTTTAAAAACGGACCAGAAATGCCGTTTTTGGGGGTTTTGCAAAAAATTTTGACCAATTATCGTGTCTAGTCGCTATAGACAAATTGGAGCCGAAGACGCTTTGTGAACTTTTTTAGGGTTGATGGATCGAAAATGAAACCGGTAAACAATATCAAAGGTATCAAATTCCATCTTTAACTTCACTACTGCATATATGCATTGTCTTTCAAGTTTCTAAAACTAGCTTCACGCTTCTCAGAGTTGAGTCAATTTCTTTTTTCATGTTGTTTTTGAGCAGATGGTTGATTTTTGTCATTTATATTAAGACTGAGTTTAGTCTACCTTATAATAAATCAGACAGACTGTTTTTATTTGAAGGACTTACTTCAGCAATATAGCATTGTTTGTGAGCAATAAATTATTTTTAGAAGAGATTTTTTTAGTTACAATGACGCAGTTCGAGCAAAAAAGCTTCGTCGACTATTGAAGCCTCAAAAAATATCATTTAACAGTAATTTGAGGAGGCAGAATGTCAAAAACTTTATCTTTTAGGGGAGGGGATAGACTAGCCGCCCCTGTTTTCGACGCCATAAGTTCATTTTGTTGACCGCGTCAAAATTCTGCGATTTTAAACTTCCAAGATAATGTTCTATAAGATTTGTGGCATGATTTAAATCAGAATTAAGCAATCGATACCTCTAGATTTTAGAATTTCAGTATATTTAAAGCTTTAAAGGTCTTTCAAAATGTTTTTAGCGATGTGGCGACTATCCGCGTGGACACTTTCGACCCAGCACAAGTACTCGTTGACCTCTATTTGGGCATAGAGTGGACTTCCTATGACCCCACTGTGTTTGTAGCTGCCCTGAACGACCTAATGGCCCCGTACGTCTTCTTCATACAACAGAACACTGGAGGCGTCACAAAGGAAAACACTGTGACTAATGGGTAGGAAAGTCAAAGTTGTATTTTTTTTTGGAACAAGGGTACTAAAAATCGAACATACAAACCAGCAGTGTATTTAGAGAATTGATTTTTCTTGTTTTTCGTCATTTTTTTCTTGTCTTTTTTGCTTTTTGCAAATAGTGCAGTTTTATTTACTCCTACTAATTGATCGAATTTCATTTCTTTAATCGGCTCAGTGGCTTTTATTGCATTGTTTGATGAGCCAAAAAAACATGAGCGTTTTCTACTTTCTTGTATTGCTTCGCTTTTAGCGGCTTTTTTGTTGTGCGTTGCAAGTGGCGCGAAGCTTTGCTTCGCCTATCTACGTTCTTGTAATATAAAAAGTACGATGTTTATTTTTGGGATGCCACTATATCAGTTAAATATTAGTTAAATCATCCAAAGCAAGCTATTGGCAATAGTTTAGCGCTAATGACTAATGACTTAATCAACCTGGCACTAATTTAGCTTTTGCTTTTTGGAACAGGGTAAGAGTGACAGTGTATGCGATTGAGAACAACAGCACGATGTCTGAGGCGAACTTGGCGGAGGAGAAGAGATTCGTGGCCAAGGAGACTCTCCTGCGGGACATGAGGGAGTACGCAGATGGCACTCCCTCCGAACTGTTCCAGTCTCCCGAAATAGTGGACTTCAGAGTAGTATATGGTCAGTAGTGCTTCGCCTGTCATGTGAAACCACTTCCGGCTCAACTTATTATACTTAGATTCCTAAAATGTCGACGGGTTCGTGTAGAAAATTGTTGTGCTTTGAAATCTTCGAAAACATCAGGATGTTCATAAGCTTACTTCATAAGCTCTGCATCGCCTATCTACGTTCTTGCAATATTGAAAGCACGATGTTTAATTGGATACTTTTTTGAAAAAGAATAAACGGATATTTCCAATTGAGATTTTTTTCTTTCAGTCATCTGATGGCACGAACTACGAGAGAAATCTGAAGGCAAATACAAGCAATTCTATTACAGATTTGCCTTTTAAATACAGTTTGATGTGTTGTTTTTAAAAGAGGAGGAACAAACATCGCAGGATTTCACACTGATTTTCCACAATAACCAGCCCTAATGTACTCTTAGAGTAGTTCAACTGTAGCACAGCTGTAACAATCTGATTTCAAGGCTGACTTCGAGGCTGACTTCAATCCAATTCTGAATTCTGATGCCCCCAAAAACGCCCTTAAAATGTTAGGAAAAAATCAATGCTTCGAAACATTTTTTTTCGTTTGTTATTTTTATAGACCGTCGTGGTTGAGGCTGCTATTTTTTGATTTGGTGTTTTTGTAGTCGAAGCTTCCCCCATTTCAACTGACTTCGACGTCGAGGAGGGAGATGAGGAGAGGTGGATGCTGGACACGCCAGAGGGCAACCTGGCACTGGTTGCCCTCTGTCTTTTCATCCTCATAGCTGTTGTCCTCATCCTCATTGGACTGTTCCTGCTCCTGCAGAAGGCAGAGTGTGTTGGCTTCGACAGAAGTGTGAGGGAAGAGGTGTATGATGCACCAAAAATGTTAGTACATACCGCTCTTCTACTTGAGTTTGTCGTTACGAAAGAAAATGCATGATTTTTTAAATCAATTTTTTGTTAAGAGCCTATATAAGCTCAATAATGCTTATGATTTTCGATCTTGAAAAAAGTATTTGAGTAACCTAATTTTAATCTCTTTAACTATTCCTGGGCTTAAATTTGTATCAAAGTGTTTTTTTTATATACTTTTTTCAGGGATTGCATGTAATGAGCATGGAGGTAATAATGTTAATATTGGTGCTGCAAGTTAGCAGGTATTACCAGGCACCATTTACCCGTAGAGAATTGGCTCCTCTTGGGTCACACACTAAGGTACAATTTCATTTTTGAATGGAACGGGATATTTAAACTGCAAACATGCTCAAAATATTTCTGTTGGCTGATGAAACTACAGATTTCAGAAATTGATTTAGTGATTCTATTTGACAGTCAAGCGTAAAGTTTGTCAGTTAAAAGAATTATGAAGTATAGAAGATCTACCACTATCAACCAAACGTTCTTGCTATAATTAAACTTAAGCTTTATAATAATATTTCATCGGCCTAAGTAAACTCAAAAATTAGGTCAATTAAAAAATTTCGTGGAAAAACATTCCCATTTATTCAGTTAAAACGCATTTTTTTTGTTTCTAATTCCAAATATTTCCTAAGTACGACTGAAATGGATCCTAACTTGATACAGTTCTCGGGCCACTTCAAATTTTGAGTTGCCTCAAATTGCGGAAAAATATACTTTATCGGCCATATTTTTTTCGAACACTAAGACTGCTCTGAGCGATGAAGATTTAAAGATTTATACTGAGTAAAATTGTCAGGAAAACTAACAACGGGAATCAATAAATGTTTGATAATGTTTAATATAAATTTTGTTCACGTGGTTCATTTGGTTTCTGCGATTTTGGGGTAACAATATGAACCGCTCAGGACGTCCCGGATGTTAGTATAATTTGGATGTATACTGCTCCGTAAGATGTCAAGTTTTGAGGATTTTGTGATAATTTATTTACACTAATGAGCTTGCGAGCGTAGTGTATTTATTAGTCTGACTGTACTTTTGTTTCCAAGATATTTCGCAAATCAAAGTACTCATTTGGTGGCACTATTGCTATAATCACGATCTGTACAATTGAAAGTTTGTTCTCTGCCTTATTTGTGGCTATTTTTTGACAATTCTTAAGCGTGCGTGGGTGAGAGGACAGGGCGCGAGACTCCAACTCTCGAGGTCGCAGTTTCAAATCCAGTACGAAGCAAAGTTTTGCTTATTCGAAGCTTGTTTCTTATTTTTTATTTCACTTTTTAAAGCTGCTTTTTTGCTGTGTTTTGCCTTGTGTTTACAAAGCGCATCATCGCCTCTGTTTTGAAATTTTTTTTTTTAAGTTTGTTTTAAATTGTTAACAAATTTTTCTTCCATTAAGAATTGCAATTTTTCAGGTTCTGTGTTCAATTTTTGAAACTGAAATAATAAATTACGCAAAATCAGTTCAGCTAGTGTCACAGCCAAGTTTAGCATAGTCAAAAATAATACTTTTTTTATAATTAGTGTTTCCAATGAGAGTGTGAAATTTTTTATTAGATGATTAGATACCTCAAATACAACATGACCGCTCGTATCAAGACAAAGTCCTGAATGTTCCGACTGCCTTTTAAGGTCTAAGAAGTGTTGTTTGCTTTAAAATGCTGAACATTTAAAATACACTTTTTTTTGTAAACCATCCCCCGCACGCAATATTTGCATGTGGAAATTTATTAAAAAGATCAAATATCCATTCAGTTTGGAACGATTTCTAAGGCCGATTAAATCTCCGCTCACGCGTTATTAGCTCAAATTTTATTCCGCCTTTTTGAAATTGAACACATGACAACAATATTTACTTGAAAAGTCGAAAATTGACTGAGTAAAAAACCACCCCTAGTATAAATGTTCCGCACTTTCTTTGAAAGTCGGAAGACGAATATTTGCACTCGTGGCGTTATTTATTCTCCAGCCCAATTTGGACGTTTTTTTTAATATATAAATTGAAAAGTACTGACGTCCTGAGCTCAAATTAATTTTTTTTTCATCTGTTACTGTTTTTTGTAAAATTATGAGGTTAAAAGGTTGCCAGTTTAGAAAAATTAACGCGCGATATATTTCGTGCTATTAAAGCGTGACCGAGATTCAATCCGTCTGAATTGAATTACGGCTTGCTATTTGGACCAGTTATTTCTTCGTTACATACGAAATAAATCACTGTGTACTTAACATAGCTTGTAGGGGGATGATTTCCAAAGTAAATCTCAAAATTGTTTCTATAGCAAACTTCATAGACCTTTAAAGGCAGTTGGAACATGCAGGGCTTCGCCCTGGTACGAGCAGTCTTTTTGTATTTTGGAAATATTTATCTCAATTTTAAGCTAAGATATCGTTTTTTTGAAAGTTTGATCACGAGAAAATTGATCGGATAGTTATCTTGTTGAAAAGTAATACTGCGGTTCATTGAGGACTGACAACAAGCTAGGACTGACAACAATTTACCTAGGACTGACAACAAGCTGTTGGTGGGTCGTCTGAACAAGTCCTCTGTAACGGCAATGGCCAGAGAGAAGAAGCAGGTTGTGGCCTCAACTACCCCTGCACCCAAAGCCACAGCCACAGTTGCTCCAGGTCAGGATTGAGTCACTAGCTACTGACTGTCCTAGGTTTAATTTCATTCATGTGGATTTCTGAGGCTGACATTTTTTGTGGAGGAAATGCTGAACCCTTTCAAGCTTTTATGCTTGAGTCATATGTGAAAAACTATACTTGTTAAGAACATTTATGGGAATTTTTTTAGGTAGAGAGTTTTGTACGCTTTATATGGATGATTACAGCACGAAGAAAAAATTGCTATTATATAATTATATAATAGAATGATATAAAATTTCGAATATAAAGTTGATTTTTGCTCCAGAAAAGAATAAGCTGGTTCCGGTTGTGCCTGCGGCTCCACTGCCTCCCGCTCAGCTTCCGCCCCAGATCACCCAACCCGCTGCTCCTCCCCCTGACAGAGGTAAACTTACTCATCTTTTACACTAATACGAGAAAACCCGGCTCGTTTCTACCCACTCCCAACGTCTGAATTTCAATCTTAAAAAGCAGTTTTAATGTTGTTTTTAATTCGTGTATAAGTCCTCAAAACGTTTTTTTCACAGCTCTGTTTTGTTTAAAATTTTGTTCACAGTTCTGTCTTCAATGTTGCCATTTATTTTCAGCTGTCACACCAGGTTCGTGTTCCTAGCACACAAATAGCACCAATAAATGTAAAATCTGTTGAATTGTGTGTTTCGTTTTTGTCTTCTGTGGTAAAATAACAAATAGTTTTTTTAGCATAACGTGGGTCAACCTGCTAAAAATCAAATTAAAGTGAACGCAAAGTAAAAATACTGAGGGCACGAAATTTGCTACTGTCGAGTTTTATTTGTAGTTTTGTTCCTGCTTTCAGTTTATTTATGGTTTGAAAGATCGCCCAGATATCATTACGCTCTTTAGTAATACCCAGTCAATGGGGTTTTGGTTTTATATGGATCAAAGGGGCCTTGACGTAGACTACGTACCTGAATGGCTGATGTAAATTACTAGCAAATTGATCGAATATTTCATTTAAGCCAGCGGCAAATTCAGGAAGTATCATTGATAGTCCATGCTTTTGAAATGAGTTTGTTGTCTGCGTTTAGTTTCGTATCTCAGTTTCGTTTCTAGATCAGTTGTCTGCGTTTAGTTTCTTATCTCTTGTCGTTCCGACCTTCGAAGAAAGGATGGTCTATTTCTGCGCGGTGTGTTTTTTCTTCTGACAAATTTCGACTTTTTAAATACCATTTGTTGAACTAAATTTTCTTTTACCATCTAAAAGTTTTTGATACCTGAACTCAAATCTAAAATCCTGAAGTTATAGTGGTTTGTTAATTTCCTTTTTGACTAATTTGTGACTAATAATACGCGATATATTTCGTTCCATTAAAGCGTAAGCGCTGATTTGATCTGGCTCAGAAATCGTTCCAACTTGATTTGAGGCAAGCTATTTGGAAGTATTAATACGTTGCTATACAAATACATTTTAGTGTCCATTTTTGTTTTCAAAAATAGTGTCGTTTTTTTTCGTGATGTGATAAACGGACCTGAACAATTACTAGAACTTAGGCATGTTCGACAGTCATATTAAAATAGGCAAAATGATCAACATTCTGTGTAAAAAATTGGCAAGAAGAACAAAAAAATCAGAAAAAAAAAAACGAAAATAGTTTCAAGTTTTTAAAAATCCGAAAACTAAGTTACTAGAGGAAAGAGGAAATAAAGTTTTCACGGCTTAAATCAAGCATAAATTAACTACTTAAAACCACACCGCTGCTTTTATTTGCTCGAATTTAGACTGAGAATCAAAAATTTTGAACCTTTTTTGATACTGTGGGACATTTAAAAAAACAAAAGTTTGAAGACGTTCGAATTACGACTGAAAGGGCTTTAATATGATATATCCTTCAACCCATTTCATAATTTTTTAGGTAGGTCACTTAGGTGGGGGTTTGTACGGTTGATCCGAGCTCGATTTGCTAGCAAGATTTTTGAAGTTAAGGGTTGTACGGTTGTTGCGTACGCCCTTATCTCAGGGATTCGACTGCCTGCTGACCTCTTTGGTACTTTTTAAGAAATCCATTTTTGACCGACCAACACTATAATTTTTCTTTGATCGCAATTTTTCGGTCAAAATTTTCCAAAAAGTGCCACAAAACGGCGTTTTTGACCTGTTTTTTTTTTCAAAAAATTGCCCATGGCGCAAAAATTGTTGTCCAAATAGGGCCTTTTTAGTGCTCTCAGACCGCTCGAAAACTCAATTTGTTCGACCTAAAAAGGTCGACAAAATTTTCAAAAATATTTTGAAAATCCGCTTGATGATACTTTTGGTTTGATTGTTCCATAATGAACTGTCAAGAAAGAATGTTTCCGTGCTCAACAAAACAGAGCTGGCGTTTTGAAGTTTAACATTTATCTATTTTTCAGTTCCTTAGAAAGTTTCAGTAACGTCGATTTTATTGAACTTTCAAAGTGAAAATAAATTGAATTAATCAGAATTTAGTTTAATTAAGTGTTTAATTTTAGCCATATTTGTTAAAGTAAAAACCACTGAGTTTCATATTTTCACCATTTTCCACCTTTTTTGACTACAATCGTTTGAACAAATATTAAAAAGTTCTAAATCATATCCAGCGAACGCAGGCTGGCCACTTGGTCTATATTTATAGACTGGTCTATAAAAGTCATTATTTGGTCTATAATTTTTTGGAAGTCTATATTTTCTAGAGACCATGTAAAAGTCACTATTTACAACAAAGCTTTCTGTTTTTTAATATTTTTAAAGGGTCCCCTCTTTGCACTGTTTTGAGATATCCGTTTTTGGTGACGGACCCTAAAATTTTTAAAAAGCGCGCGCCGAAAAAACGCAATTTTTTATTCAAAATTATGTCTGCGGCGCAGAAATTTTGGCCAAAACAGGGACTTTTTAGTGCTTTAGCAGGGCCTGAAAAATTAATTTGGTCAAGCTAAAAAAAAGGTCGACAAATTTTTTTTTCGAAAATTGCCAGTCACTTGAGGTCTATATATTTTTGAGAAAATAGTAGCCAGCCTGAGCGAACGACAGTTGTTTGTAGTACAAAAAATCAAAACATTATTTAGTTCAGCCGTTATGGAGCAGATTAGCAAACCATTCCGCTCACAGGCACACTATATATTAATAGCAGTATAGATTTCATCTACTCCATTCATAGTAGCCAATGTTTTCAATCGGATACTTTATTCATTATCTGTGTTCAGATGGAGGAAGGAAGATTTGGGAGATCCGGAGATCCAGAGAGAATGGGGCAGCCTCGCCTCTGGCTGGGATCAATTAGAGTCACGAAGATATACATCTGGACGCTAGCTTCCATTCTATTCTGAGAAGTCATGAAACAAGAAGGAGCACAAAGTAGAAAAAATCTATTCTAGTTTAGTTAGTCAATGAAAAAGTTTTTACCATATAAACATGTATATACAATTAATTGACATGAGAATTGTTTGTTTTCTATCATTGTAAATAAAAATCTATTTTATCGCATTATTGATAGTTTCAATGCTTCGCATTATTTTTTCAACCTGTACAATTTCCAATGATAACCCAAATTCTTCCATCCTGGTAACTAAAAAAACTATGGCCCCGTCATAGCAAGATTTTTGTCCGATCTCCAATGTTCAAAAAAAGTTTCAAGGTTACTCACAGCATTTTAGCTTTGTTTGCATGTTTTTGCAAAAGCCAGTTTTGTTTGCCCTTTGTTTAGTTTATTTCTTTGCGTCTGCACAATAACGTGCTACGATTTTTTAGAATACAGCTAAACAAAACAAAAACACCTTAGTGTTTTTATGTTTGTACAAACCCACAAAGAGATTAGTACCCGCAGTTTTTATTTGGCTTTTAAATGGGCTCTTTTTTCTGAAAAAAGGAGTTAAAAATTCGAGTTACATTACTTTGCAATTAGTTCAATTGTATTGTTACGAAAAAACATATAATTTTGTCGCCGAGTCTTGGTTTTACCTAGCAGAAAATAAAGCTTAGTTTACTCGCAAAGTTTTAAAAAAAGACATTTTTTTGTCAACATCATTTAAAATCGCAAAGAAAATCGTAATGGATTTTTTGAAGTAAAGGTTCCATTATATAAAGAAAAAACTGTTGAGTGATCCACTTTTTGTAGCCCGGAATATTCTTTTTCTCAGCTGTTTGCAAGGTTTCATTCATATTTTCAGAATTTATCAACTTATGGTAGCCTCAACTGGCTCATTTGACTAATAAACACACATTAAAAACTCGGAGCGCAATGAAAGAAAAAACATGGTAATGACAGAGATTCAAAAAATGGATTTAAACATTTTTCTCGGCTGTTTCAATAAACTCCGTATTTACTAATACATCGTAACAAAAAAGTTTTTTTTTCAGCTTCAGCTGAAAAAGATGGAGTGATAGGAGCATATTTTTCCGATTGCCATCTAAAGTCCGTAGGTGTTTTGACTCATCCAGTGATTAAGCAAACTATCATCGACAAAGTATTTTTTTGAATATGATTCTCGTGTGGTGTATCATTGACCTGCTGCTCGCTCAATCCCGAAAAAATGTTTCTAATACCCTTTAGTTCAAAGTTAGTTTCTTTGTCTTTGCTTGTGTTTTTGCGAGAGAGTAGAATGTTTTATAAAGTTCCGTTTTAATGACCGGTTTATTAGTCATCTACTAGTTGTCGCCCAAACAGCTGCCCTGGCTAGTGTTAGGTTGCATGTTTAGTTCCGTGTCCGACTCCTTTCGGTGTTTTTCTATTCCATTCAGTGCCGTATTCTCTTGACTGGTCGTTTTTTTAATGTTTGTGTTAGCTTTTTTTCACTGAAAGAAATTAACAGGTTGAGTTTTGTAGCTTTTTATGAGAATTTAATCAACTCGAGTCAGGAATATGTTGAACAAATAAATGTCTTAAAGTTGTTTTGTAAAAAAAGTTTCATCTTCACCGACTACTTAGAACATAAGCCAACTGGGCAGAGGCTGCTTTTTGCAATTTTTCCGTCTCAGTTTTTGATTTCATCACTGGAAGAGGTGACGGGCGACGAAGATCTTTCTCGAATTTTCTTTGGTATCACTGAAATCAAAATGAGAAATCCTGGCATGACATTTCTTGAACAACTTACAGTTGGTTAAGTAAAGGACACTTGAAAATTACTTACACTTAAGAATTGATGGCTCCAGTTTTCTCTTTCTCGACGGCGGACTCTGCAACGCCGCTTTTCCTCTATTTAGTGATTTCAGACTTCTTTTGAAACTTCTGCCCTGTTCTTTTACCATCGTCAAGCCGAGCAGTTGACTAATTTGCGGACAATCGTCGTCGGTTTTAAATATGAAGAAGTCCATCATAGCCCGATGCCATCAGGCCAGGTCTGCTTGCTTCTGACACTAACTCTCGCAAACGTGAAATATATTCGTTTTTGAAAAGGGCTGAATACATTTAAAAAGGTGGAACAACCAATAAAAATCAGGATATCATAAAAAGACAGAAAGAAGCTCCCTACTAAGCAAATAAGAACTCCCCACTCAACCTCTTCATTGAAACCAAACCATAATCTTCGGATATATGATCAGCAAAAAAGGGACAGAAAAAAAACTCCAATAGCTGGAACCTACCGACGCAACATCTTCATTAACACCAAACCTTAATCTGAAGACCACACCAGATTAATGCAGTGATCTGAATGATAAGCCACGTACGTAAAATATGCAAAAAAAACACGGGGCAACATACGGGGTGCATCCCAAAATGAAAAAGAGTGCGTGGTTCAACGTACCAGGTGCATCCGAATAATAAACAATGTAAGGATAATATGAAGAAAGATACGGGGTGGGGTAATTGGGAGCTGGACACTCCCTACGCCATAATATACACGAAACGGTTCGTAATTGCTCGTAAGCGCCATCATATATTAGCACTCGTAGAAATGTAAAGAATAAAAACTGACAGCAATTAGGAAGCCTATGTATTTTGAAAGTTTGTTTGTTCATTTAATTGGACAAAAGGTATCTATGCCGAAAGAAAAATTTAAATTTTAAGCTCGATAGTCTTTTAAACATTGTCTCCTGATAACTCTTAAGCATTACTATTAGTTAAACCTTGCGTCCATAGCACTTTACGACTTTCATTTAATATATGAGATAAAAGAAAGCTTGTTTGTTCATTTTTTTGGGGCTTCCATGTTAATCTTTTGATCCTTGATCCTTTGCATCGCAATTTATAAGTCATCTCTAAAAACAAAACTTTTTGTCAAAAATTTTGTTTGTATCTTGGAGTTTTTTGTAATACAACTTTTTTATTTTTTGAAATTTCAGTAATTGATGCTTGATCTAATGATACTTGACAGGTCATTATCGTTCTCGATTTGAATAAGTAAATAACATTTGTCTAAAGCAAATTTATTTCTCAGAAAAAATTGCTGCCAACCGAAAGTTCAACGATTATCTCATTTTCAGTAATTTACACTCACGGGAAGTTGAAGATGTATTTTTTTTATTCCAACGATCAAATGAGCATTTTCTTTTACGTTGATGTCTCATCTGTAGCTTTTTAGGATATACGGCTGAAGTTTTGACAAATTATATATAAAATAATTGAAAAGAGCTAGCCGGATCAAATTTTGTCAAATCTTGTTTTGAAGGCGTGAAATAACCAGTGTATTAAAAATTATTTCAGATTCGTACTGTGTATTCGTACTGTGAAAAGATCATCGGAAACGACTACTAAAAATTTGGACTTAAATGTTGAAGTTTCATCTTTGGGAAGCTGATGAGCTTGATTTTTTCTTACTTTCGCAGGAAAACGGCAGACAAAATATTTGAAAGTGACTTTGTCGGTCGTAAAAATTAGCTCTTCGTGAAAAACTTATTTTTGAAACGATCTTGGTCACCTTTTTGGGGTTGCTATGAAAGTTTTTTGAGCATGCCTGAAGTAATTCGGACTATTTGGCCATTTAATACACTTGAATCACAAAAAAAAAAAACAGAATTCAAGTACAATAGTTTGCTGTTTCTTATTTTTCTTGCTGAAAACATATTTTGGAATTTTTTTCAGCATCGAAAAAGGGCCCTAAAATATGCCTCACTTGACCCAGTTCAATTATTATTTGTCATCCCCTTTCTTGATGTGCCGCAAAATTGCTCCAGAGTTTTGCGGCACATAAGTTTCCCAAAATCTGAAACTTCAAAAATTTCTCAACAATAATTCATAATGCATTATTTCTTAGCATAAATTAGCAGAATTATCTGTTTCTGTCAGTGAGTAAAACTTCGCCTATAAAGCAGCAGACTTTATAGAAAATTGTTTGCCTAACAGATTGTTCCCAAACATGTTTTAAGACTTTTCTAAGAGTAATGAACGTAGTAGGTACTTTTAGATAGGTCGTGCTGATTTTTTGTTTTTTTTTCAGGAAAAAGTCTTAAAAATTGTTCATGATCAAATTTGTTTTTTTTTCGTGGTTTGACTTGGGGTTTTGTTTGTAAGTTCAGTGCTTTTTTATTTTTAAAAGAAAGGCAAACTCCTCTATCGAACATCAAACTTTAAAGGTCACGAAAACCGTGATCGACTTCTAATTTCGAAAACGAAAATTAATTATTAGACTCCCAGTAGCGAAGTAAAGTTTAACTTATTGATCCAGTTTTCTCAAATTGGGTTAAATTTAATTTAAAAGTGTCCAACATAAATTGTTGTACAAATTCAAAGCGCTTTAAGGCCATCTATTTGTTTCTTCGAAATTCAAAAGTTGAAGATGTTTGAAAAAATAAGTCGGTTTTTTTTCGGTTACCTTGGGTTCATTACTCTTTTCCAACTGTCAGTTTGCTATGTTTTCACTGTGAAAACCTCCTAAGTTCCCAAACTCCTTTAGAAAATGATGATGAAGAAAAGAGCGACCAATATTTTCCGACTAATAAAGCATCGATTTTTCTTGCTTAAAAATATTTTTCCTTAAAACAAAACAACAAGGCTCAAATCAGGGCGTCGCCTTGATTATTCTGACTGCTTACTTAGCCCTAGGGAGCAGTGTTTGCCTAAAAAAAACAGATGAATTTTTCAAAAAAAATGAAAAAATTGCTTTGTTATAATCCCCCCACACGATATATAGATACAAAGTGATAGATTTAGCTCCTAGTAACGTATCTATTACGACAAACAGCCTGTTTCAACCAAATTGGAACTGTTTCTAAGGCGGATTAAATTGCCGCCTACGCGTTAATAGCGCGAAATATACCACGCGTTAGGTGTCCCATATTGGAAATCTTGAAATTGCAACAAGTTTACAAAAGCTGATCACAGGTTAAAAAAATTCTTCCAAATGTGCGCTCAGGACAAAAATCTTTTTCGGCCGAAATATAAAATTCGTATTAAAAGTGGTAGTTAAAAAGTCGAAACTTGTCAGGAAAAACCACCCTGAGCACATATATTCAGTCACTTTCTTCGAAAGCCGGAACAATAACAACGGTATCTACTTGTGTGGTTTTTTTACTCAATTTCCAATCGCATTATTTTTTTCATCACTTATTCG